GAGAGAGAGAGAGAGAGAGAGAGAGAGAGAGAGAGAGAGATAGAGGGAGAGAGAGAGAGAGAGAGCGAGAGAGAGTGCGCTGCGGATTGTATGCTTAAGAATGCCTCGATTTTTAGAAAGCATTTGTTGATTCAGTGGAATAATGAAGTGATAATCACACTTGAACTTGTGTGCCTATAAACTCATTGCTACAATGTGACACACTTACCTTCCAGTAATGGGATATTTATATGCATGTCTGTTGATTTAGTAAGATAATTACGAAATAATAATTATGTAGGAACTTGTGAATGAGCGTATGAACTCATTAGCGGAATATATAGCAGTTGCATTCAAATTTAAGCTCGTTATATTATTGTGCATGTTCTAGTGTGTTCTAGTGTGTTCTAGTGTGTTCTAGTGTGTTCTAGTGTGTTCTAGTGTGTTCTAGTGTGTTCTAGTGTGTTCTAGTGTGTTCTAGTGTGTTCTAATGTGTTCTAGTGTGTTCTAGTGTGTTCTAGTGTGTTCTAGTGTGTTCTAGTGTGCGTCTTACTCTGTTGACCTAGTGGGTTAATGATGAAATGGTAATTATGTATGAACGTGTGAGTGTATCTATGAACTCATTGCTGCCAGAATGTAGTACGCTTATATTAAAGTGATATAGTATGTGTGTGCGTGCGTGCGTGCGTGCGGGCGTGTGTGTGTGCGTGTGTGCGTGCGTGCGTGCTGTGCGTGTGTGTGCGTCGTGCGTGTGTGTGTGTGTGTGTGTGTGGTGTGTGTGTGTGTGTGTGTGTGCGTGTGTGTGTGTGGTGGTGTTGGTGTGTGTGTGTGTGTGTTCGGGTACACACATATGTAAATGTTACAATTACCGACGGCAATATACCTGATGACGTCACTATACTGTGTCTCGCGGCTATGTATGAACGGCGACAAACCTCGAGTCACGTGACCAGTCGCGTGAGAATCGATCTTTTAATTAAATAAAAAAAAATTCCGTTTCTAAACCTTTTTGAAAAAAAGAAAACAAGTTCGCAACAGTTTCCACAGTAACGTTAGCACGCAAGTCGTATTTCGTATCGACCGCCTCCCTCCCCCCCCCCCCCGGGGACTTGTTTGCCTTGCTTTGATTGCCTTCGATTGGATTTTATCAAAATGGCCGTCGCCCGTTGAATCAAGTGTCGTCGTTATAAACCAGTTAAAAGTTTCGCACGAATTTTGATGGATTTCGGATGGCATGACGTCGGTGTGTGTGGTAGTGGTGCGCGCGTGGGCTCCTCGCGGCGTGCTGCTCGTTCTGTAGAGATTCGCATATAGTTACTCCGTGATGTCCTCTGTAGACCTCCGCGTACTCGAGTTGAATGACGTCCTCCTAGTGCATGCAGTCCCAGTTTTTCGTATAGAAAGAGCTTCACCGACTATAATAACTAAATATTCTGTATAAATATCTAGAGGTTTTTAGAGGACATTTGTCGGGGATTAAGTAGAACCGTTGGGTTAATCTATAGAACTTCTAGAGTTGATTGATCGCTTTGATTGCCTTCGATTGAATTTTATCAAAATGGCCGTCGCCCGTTGAATCAAGTATCGTCGTTGACTTACCGAGACAAACCTGGTCGATTTTCGTGTAGGAATCGCATCATGCCATGTCATGTCATATCATGTCGCGTCGTGTCATATAGTATCGTGTCGTGTCATATGATATGATATCATATCATATTATATCATATCATATTATATCATATCATATCATATCATATCATATCATATCATATCATATAATATAATATAATATAATATCGTATCGTATCGTATCGTATCGTGTCGTGTCGTATCGTATCGTATCGTATCATATCATATCATATCATATCATATCATATAATATCATATCATATCATATCATATCATATCATATCATTCATATCTTATCTATCGTATGCGTATCGTATCCGTATCATACTCAATCATATCGTATCGTATCGTATCGTATCATATCATATCATATCATATCATATCATATCATATCATATCATGGCACGTTATATTGTGGTTGTCAACGACAGACAAAAGGCGGTAACAACGCAGACTGAAAGACAATAATTAACAAATCTTGTTTTACTACCGATAGGATATAACAGTAATCATAGATTTATCTGCGCTATGCATCCAAAAATATCGTAGCCGCTACTAATCTACAACATATGAAGCTACACGACAGCGCGTGCTGTGTCACCTGTGTGTCCCCTGTGTGTCGCACACAGGTGACACACATAGGCGTGTCGCACACAGGTGACATACATAGGCGTGTCGCACGCAGGTGTGTCGCACATAGGTGTGTCGCACCCAGGTGTGTCACACACAGGTGTGTCGTACACAGGCGTGTCGCACGCAGGTGTGTCGCACAGAGGTGTGTCGCACACAAGTGCGTCACACACAGGTGTGTCGCACACAGGTGTGTCGCACATAGGTGTGTCACACGCAGGTGTGTCGTACACAGGTGTGTCACACACAGGTGTGTCGCACACAGGTGTGTCGCACACAGGTGTGTCGCACGAGCACGCAGGTGTATAACACACAGGTGTGTCACACACAGGTGTGTCGCACACAGGTGTGTCGCACACAGGTGTGTCGCACACAGGTGTCACACATAGGCGTGTCGCACGCAGGTGTGTCGCACACAGGTGTGTCGCACGCAGGTGTGTCGCACACAGGTGTGTCGCACATAGGCGTGTCACACACAGGCGTGTCGCACATAGGTGTGTCACACACAGGTGTGTCGCACACAGGCGTGTCACACGCAGGTGTGTCGCACACAGGTGTGTCGCACACAGGTGTGTCGTACATAGGTGTGTCGCACGCAGGTCTGTCGCACATAGGTGTGTCGTACACAGACGTGTCGCACACAGGTGTGTCACACACAGATGTGTCGTACATAGGTGTGTCGCACACAGGTGTGTCACACACAAGTGCGTCACACACAGGTGTGTCGTACACAGACGTGTCGCACATAGGTGTGTCGCACGCAGGTGTGTCGCACATAGGCGTGTCACACACAGGCGTGTCGCACGCAGGCGTGTCGCACACAGGTGTGTCGTACATAGGTGTGTCACACGGCGGACTAGCTACCGTAGCGTAGGTGCTCCTGCTGCGAGACGGAGTTACCGTACGGCTAGTGCTGGAGCACGTAACAATCCGCTACGCAATGCAACAGACGCATAGCGACGCCACGATACGCTACACAACGACACAAACGGCGACGCAACGACACGCGCATTGTTCCGTGACGCAACGGAAGCTGGCCACGTCACGCAACGCTCTGCCACGTAACGCATCAGACTGCTATGCAACGCAACGTTCTGTAACGCAACGTATCAGACTGCTATGCAACGCAACGTTCTGTAACGAAACGCATCATACTGCTGCTATGCAATGCGCGTTATATGCTGCTGCGTAACGCAACGTTCTGGAAACGAATCGCATCGACTTGCGGTGTAACGTAACCGGCTGATACGTAACGATACAGAGGCAGACTGCTACGTTACGCATCAGTCTGTCACGCAACGGCATATGCAGCTTACAACAGCTTCGTCCGGGTCGGTTACAAGCTAGCACGCCATTCGGCAAACCTCGGGCGAATCCGGTTGTTTCCGTGGTCCGCCATTAACCGGGCTGTATATCTCACGCGTGGATATACGCGTGTCTATTTGCACGTAAGTGCGAGTAGATATTTATGGTATCACTTGTGTTGATATTCGTCCGCGTGTCACATTTCGTGATCCATCGGAATTTGACCGAATTACTGTCAAGGAATCATATAACTCTGATTTTCTCATAAACTTGATCCGTGACAGTGCAATTTATAATTTCACCGTAATCTCGAATGTCGAGTCGTCGGTTCTGACACGAATAACCACTCCAGGAACGAAAAGTTAATTTTTTTCTGGCTGTAGTACTCGCTATAGCACAGCTAAGCTTTGACGTGGCTACGGAATCATCCGAGGTTTGGCGTAGATACGGAATTAGCCGAGGTTTGGCGTAGATACGGAATTAGCCGAGGCTTGGCGTAGCTACGGAATTAGCCGAGGTTTGGCGTAGCTACGGAATTAGCCGAGGTTGGACGTAGCTACGGATTCAGCCGAGGTGTACCGAGCGTCCCACAAGACACCATAATTTCATAGATCTACCTATAAACAATTTGTTTATATATACAACATTATTTTATATATAACAGAGTTCATAAATAGATCTATGATAACATATACATTGTACATAACAACGACAACACATTGTATAACTGTCGGCGCTGAACATCCGCTTCCATCACGTGACGACACCTACTCCATCATGGCCGCCATCTACGCTTCCATCATTTGACGTCACCCGCTCCATCATGGCCGCCACCTCCGATTCCATCATGTGACGTCACCCACTCCATCATGGCCGCCACATGGCTGCGTTAGCTATCGCTCCCATCGTGGCGCGTGTGAATGCGTACACAGTGACGTTTTTACAATCCGTCACACAAGCGAAATAAATGCAGCTTTACGTCAACAATAACATCTCGTAATGTCGTAACATGCAGTAATTTCAAAGTAACACCATGTGTTACGACGAACACGGGTGTTGCTGCGGTCCAAGTAACTGCAGCTAACACCATTGTCAGACATGCTAATATCGGTGTCAGCGCCAGTAAGTTAGTACTGTAACAGTAAGCCAGTACTGTTAGCTAACACCATTGTTACACATGATAACTCAGGTGTTAGATCAGGCCTAGTAACTGTTAGCTTACACCATTGTTACACATGATAACTAAGATCTTAGGTCAAGATAAAGTCTAGTAACTGTTTGCTAACATACGTGTCGCTTCACCTCTATCGTTAGAACAGATAGAATTCCGGCCTAACAAACAGATATGCATTCGTGAAGGTGCCTTTGAAAAAAGCACCGATTAGTGTTATGGACCAATACGGGGATTACCCCTTGAAAACATGTCTATAATAGAAACGTCCAGACAATAAGCTACACAGGACTAATGTTCTTAAATATGACACTGGCTTTACATACACCATCATTGTTTTTTGCACAAAGTCACAATAGTTACTTTGGTCTCTCGCTGCCGACATTACTTGTCGCAAAGTTGTTTTTATATATCTATAATATATATCTATATATTTTTTACGATAATAATTTCATGTTCTACGTACTCACTCCCAACAGATATCGGGAAACGTTAGCAACGAAAACAATAGAACACTGCTTGTTTAGATGCTTGGTGCCTTGTATGTACAGCGTATATATGGACACCAGAGCGCGAAGCTGCCTCTACAAAATCGCAAACCTCGCTCTTCGTTCTCACGTATTAAGGGCTTATATGTCTAAAACTCACATCATATGATAACAGTTCTACGCTTATATTTACATCATTAGGCACCGTCATCTCCCGGCACAGTAACTAACCGATCTATATATGCACATACATATCTATCTATCTATATATGAGGCGTACCACAACATGTGCAGAAATAGCTTTTTGTATATGACACCGCGAGTGGATGAAGGTAGAGGGATAGATTTTAACGAAGCGGTAAGCTTCTAGCAGGGAAACAAGATGTCGATATAAGTATACAAAGATTGGCAAGGTTACTCGCTGCTAGGCAACCGCAATACAATGTAGTTTGCTTTATATACCAGGCGATAAAAACGGGTATCGGTGCGCATGCGAGACTTAATTAAGGTTTCAATGCAGACGATATTAACTAGCTGTACTACGATATACATGGCCGTTAGAAAAGAGATGTCATAGAGGAGGCACGCAGTATTAAACATGACGATAACAAACATATCATGACCGTGATGTCGAGAATTATTCTGTTACGCCTAAAAACGATCAATTAAAAATATCTCTGCTCTCCGGGCTTTCTCTATTCGCTGACTAGTGGAGACACAAACAAGTAAAATGGCGACAGATTAACATAACATGAATTCGATTTAGTTCGACTAATCTGTCTGATATTCCCCGGTCTCTGTTTGATCGCTGTGCTAGCCATGACCCGGCATAGTCTTTCTCCTACCAACATCACTGTCTTATACCCCTTCTATCCCCATAACTGCTTTATACCCCTTCTACCACACCAATGTCTTATCCTCCTTCTATCCCCATTCCTGCCCTATACTCCTTCTATCTCCATCACTGTCTTATGACTCTGTTATCCAATAAATGCCTCATACCCCATTTATCACTGCCGTAACCCCTTCTACCACACCAATGTCTTATACTCCTTCTATCCCCATCCATGCCCTACTTGTCTGCTATTTCTGCTGTTAGGTACGCAGCAGCGAAAGCAGCCTACAGTCCCTATTATTATGGTCTGTCTACTAAACCCTTCCATTTCTAATAAATTGTTTGCTAGCCGCCATCCTATACGATTGGAATGCTAGCTTTCTCACACCTCATCTGGTTAACAAAAATCCGGTTATTTAAAATATGAACGCGGCGTATATGAAGAGTCACTGGGCATAAAATAGTCGTGACTGTAATATATGCTCGGTCACGAATTCCTCGCACGACATTCACGTGATAACGTGGCGCCGTCACGTGCTTCCGGCTGGGCAGTCACGTGCTTGCGATGTGAAGTCACGTGATCTTCGCACGCGGTCACGTGTAGTTCCGGCATGCCGTCACGTGTTCACGACATCGCGGTCACGTGGCACGATGGTCACAGCGAGTTAGCTTGGCAGGAGTGAAAACTGGTAAATCTCTCTCTCTCTCTCGTGCATTGCTGTAACACTCGCAGCCTACGTCACAGTTGTCTAAACTTTGCCTACGTCACAGGTGCACAAACACTAGCTACGTCACACGCGTTGAAACTCCGCTCGCGTCACGGGTGCACAAACATTGCCTACGTCACATGTATTGACACGCTTCCTACGTCACCGGCGCACATACTCTGCGAACGTCACATGTGTTGACGCTCTGCCTGCATCACCAGTACCCAAACTCTGCCTGCGTCACCGAAGCGCGAACTCTGCGTACGCCACAAGTGCACAATCTCTGCCTACGTCAAAGGTGCGCAAACGCTGCCTACGTCACCAGTGTCCATTCCACCGGGTCACCATCCTCTCTCACCTCTTCGCGTCTCGGACGACGACCAAGACCCAGATCTGGTCGCATGACCTCCCTCCGCTCGGACGCCACCTCACGTTCCACTCACGTCTGCTAGACACGCCCACTGCCATAACGTCTCTGCTAGTCACTCCCACTTTCGGGTCACGTATGCTTGCCACGTTCACTTCCGGGTCACGTCAGTTAGCCACGCCCACTGCCATGCCGTCTCTGCTAGCCATTCTTGTCACGCTATTGACTGTTCATGTCCACTGGCCACGCCCACTGCCAGATCATGTCCTCTGGCCACGCCCACTGCCAGATCATGTCCACTGGCCACGCCCAGATCAGCCTAATACGCCGGCTCGTGCCTGGTCCATCTGTTAGTCACGCCTCTAACAGCCATTTCTCTGCTGATGTCCAAACCCATGTCAGATTCACCTGTCATCCGCACCCACGCCTAATCAGGGCTACACATTACATCTCTCTCGTCTCTCAGCTTGATACAGTCGCGGTGGCCATCTCCTTGTACACGCCTCCTCGTCTTCCGCTACGGTAGCCGTGCGCTGTGTGGGTGTCCTTCTTCGAGCACTTCCTTCTTCTTCCCAGGTCGCTGTCCCGTCCGATATCTCTCCCGTCGCCCGCTAGGGTTTGGTATATGGGTAGTTCGGCGTGTGACCGCTGGAGGGTGCGTCGGGCGGTCCGGGAGTCGCGTGTGTGCGCATGCTCACGTCGCCACGTTGCGCCAGCCGACGACGACGCGACGTCGCCGTGCAGTCAGGAGCGGGGTTTCCGGTATCACGCGGGGACGACGACGACGATGATGATGATGATGCGTGCGCGTTGTTGTTGTTGTTGCTGTTGTCGTTGCTGTTGTTGTTGCTGTTGTTGCTGTTGTTGTTGTTGTTGCTGCTGTTGTTGTTGTTGTTGATAATATTGTTATTGTTGTTGTTGTTGTTATTGTTGTTGTTGTTGACGATGATGATGTTGTTGTTATTGTTGTTGTTGTTGTTATTGTTGTTGTTGTTGACGATGATGATGTTGTTGTTATTGTTGTTGTTGTTATTGTTGTTATTGTTGATGATGATGTTGTTGTTATTGTTGTTGTTGTTGTTGTTATTGTTGTTATTGTTGATGATGATGTTGTTGTTATTGTTGTTGTTGTTGTTATTGTTGTTGTTGTTGTTGTTGTTGTTGTTTGCTGGTCGTGGCGGCGGACTTGACTCGGCAGGAGTAAAGCAGGCCCTTCTCTCTCGCGATGCTGCTGCTGCTGCTACGACGACGGCGACGACGACGACGACGACGACGACGACCGCTGCCGACGACGACGACGACGACGGCAAGTGTCCATCACACGACGTCGTCGTTCACGAATTTCTCGTTCTTGCCGTTTCGGACAGTGGTCAGTGCGGAGATGGCTCCGGCCGTGTCGGTGCGGTCAAAGTCCGTCGTGTAGCCGCGGCGGAGCCGGCCCATGTTCTGTCGTCCGCAGCAGAGAACCTTCTTGAAGCCCTTTCGGAAATTGTCGGACAGGAACGCGTAGAGGATCGGATTGACGCAGCTGTTGGTGTAGGCGAGACACTGACCGACGATCTGGAAGGCGAGCAGCGTCTTGCTGTGGCCCACATCAAAGATCTTCGTCATCACAAAGATGATCTGTATCGGCAGCCAGCAGAGCGCGAAGATGACGACGACGACGACGACCATGCGCGTGACGCGCTTCTTCGACTGCAGACTCTCGCGCGACATGCGGCCCCCTGCCATTCCGTGCCAGAGACGATCGAGCATGCGCACGTAGAGGACGCTTATGAGGGTGAGCGGGACGAAGTAAGCGAGAACCGTGAAGCAGCTGAAGAAGATACGGACGTGGTAGTTGTCGACGAAGTTGTGCGTGCACGTGCTGCGTGTCTCGCCGTGGTACGGGTACTCCTTCCACTCGTTGATGAACAGATTTGGAGTGTTGATCAGCAGGATGACGAACCAGAGGATGCCGACGGCGATCCACGAATTCTTCGTCGTTCGTATCGACATCGAGGCGACGGCGTGCACGACGGCGAGGTAGCGGTCGAGCGACATGAGCACGAGCGTGTAGACGCTCGCGTAGGCGCACACGTTGATCATGTACTGCACGATCTTGCACCAGACGTTGCCGAACGGCCAGATCGGCAGCGCGTAGTCGGTGGCCGTGAACGGCACGCAGACGAGAATGAAGCTGAGGTCGGAGATGGCGAGCGAGATGATGAGCACGTTGGTCGTGTTGCGCATCTGCGGCGTGCAGGAGACGACGATGATGACGAGCACGTTGCCGACGAGGCCGACGGTGAAGATGAGGCTGAACAGCGTCGGCACGACGATGCCGACGATTCGCTCGACGTTTAGCGTCTCGGCGTAGTCGGCATAGTAAACATCCAGCTGGCTACAGTTCGTGATGTTCGTGCCGTCGGCCACGATCCCGTCCTCGCACAGCGCTGGCGACGTCGTGTTGTTCATGCTGCTGCTGCCGAGGTGCTTCTCCGACACGAGCTGGCAACGGTGGCGACCCCTAGTAGCAGTGTTCACGTCGGCTGAGTGGCGATCACAGCTCGTCGGTTAGGTATTCGATGCCTGCGGAGAGATGAGAGAGTGAGATTGAGGGTATGGGGTGACGTCCCGCGGAGTGCGATTGCGGCATGCGCGTGCGCATGCGTTGTCACGCGCACGCACACGCACGCACGCACGCGCACGCACGCACGCACGCACGCACAAACGCGAAAAAAGTACACACGCGGAACTCACACGCGCACACACGTGCACTCACACACGCGCCCAGCCCCCGACATTCGCCGACTGAACATGGACGCACACACACACACACACACACACACACACACACACACACACACACACACACACACACACACATGTGAATCGATGTTGATTCGATGACGTGATCGAATGATGCAATCGAACATTCGATTCACGCATCCGACATGATTCGATTCAGCGCATCGAATGATGCCATCGAATCATTCGATTCAACGCCATCAGGAATGAATTTGAATCGAATTATGAAACAGAATACACACCATATCGGCCTTCAGCCCTCCAATGCAATGTAAAATTCATCGTAACCATGCACCTCCTCCTCCTCCATTCCTCTCCTCCTCCTCATCCTCCACCGCTCCCTTCCCCTCTCCTCCATTACTCTCCTCCCCTTCCCCCTCCTCCCGCTTCCTCCTCCTCCTCTCCTACATTCCTCTCCAGCGCGGACCGCGAGGCGTTGTGTGAGCTTCACGCGATCAGGGTCTTTCTTCAGGGTTGGAAATCTCCGGCCACCATCGGACGAAAGGAGAATCAATCTGTACCCAGTGTACGGGGGCATTGCAGGCGGCAGCAGCAGCCGAGCTCTCGTTTCTGTCGTAGATACCAAATATTTCCACGCGCGGCGAATCATGGCTTTGTTAACTACGGGGGGTCCGATGTACCGGTTATTGTTATAGTTGGGTTATACGTTGCTGGATCGCCGCCCTGTTCGTAATATACTACTCATGTGCCGCCTGTTTGGTCTATATGTAGTGGCTGGCGGTCGTTCCTAGACTATTGACTTGCCTTGGCCTATAGGCTATTGACTCTGAGCTATTGGCTTGGCTATAGGCTATTGACTAGGCTGCCATTAGCTGGCTATATGCTGCCATGTTTGGTTTATATGTGGTTGGCTAGGATGGCGTTCCCGGTCGTTACTGTCCTACATGCTCCCATGTTTTTTCTTTAGATGGTCGGTGAAGCTGCCACGACTGGTGTTTTTTGGTAGAATATGTCACCGAGTTTGGTTTTTAG